GACACATAATTCCCAAAGTCCAACAAATAAAACATCTAGAAATCTTACTAAATAGCAAACTCGACTTCAAAGCACACATTGATTACCTTAAGCTAAAATGCCAAAAGGCTTTGAAGCATCTAAAGGTACTATCAAAACTTGATTGGGGTGCTGACCAAAAAAAGTAATGCTCAGAATATATAGATCACATATCAGATTTGTTGTGGCCTGTTAGGGGCAAGAAAGAAAGACACAGAAGAAGGTAGGTTGAACGAGTGTATTGAAATAACAGAATATATATACAAAATAAGATTGTTATTAGTCAGCAGATAGAAATGTCTGTCCGAACTGTCAGGTTACACTGCATTCAGACTGCCTCTTTAGGAAGTCTTGCAGGTTAGTATTTATGAAGGAGGAAGAGTTTATTCTAATGAAGATGTCACCATAACGAGATCAAAATTATTTACAGTGCTACATGTAAGTCCTATCTTGAAAAGCTACAAACTAAACAAAATCAAGGCCTGAGATTAAGTCTAGGAGCCTTCCAGACTTCAACCATACATAGTCTCTATATAGAAGCCAATGAACCACTGTTATCTCTGAGAAAGGAAAAATTATCCCTCCAATATGCACTATAACTGCAATCTAACCCAAATAACCCAGCAGGCCAAACAACGTATGAATCTCAATATACCCAGTTCTATAGAACTAAACCAACAGTCATCCCTTCATTTGGTCTTCAAATCAAAGAAGCAGTAGAACAAATAAACTGTTGTGGAGTGATTTCACAGTGGAGGCTTGTATTTGTACTAAGTCGGTCCTAAAATAGGTTTGACGTACAAAACATTAGGAACTTGATATAATAGGTATAACGCGGAGTAATCTAGTTGTGGTCGCTGATACTTTAGTATTCGACTGTCATCCGACATCGACTGATTGACCGACCGACTCACCGACTGCCTCCCTCGTTACTCTTACTACTCCTACTTATTATAGGTGGGAGAGTCTATTAACTATAGAATAGGTGTGTTCTATTATAACATAAACAAAGATCTTTATAATGTTAAACCAATCACAATAAAGAAATCTCTATGGACAATCTCCAAACCTCACATAGACCTTACATTGGCACATAAAAAAAAAAAAGATACAATCAACAAAAGCATGTATGGAGAAATAAGAGACAGGTATTGTGACTATAGACCATTCTACACAGATGGATAAAAAAAATCCAAGATAGAATAGGTGCAGCAGCCACAAACAGGCAAATTCACAAACAAACCAGGCTACCAAATAATGCATCCATTTGTACAGTGGAACTACAAGCCATAAAAATGGCATTTAAAATGGTATAAGATTCAAAAGATAGGGAATCTGATAAGATTATAAATTTCCTATCTAATTTAACAGCAATTAAAGAAAACAACACATCCTTATATTCAAGAAATACTAGAAGCTTAATAAAGCACAAAACAATAATCTTGGCCTTGATTTCTAGTCATATGAGCATTAAAGGAAATCATGAAGCTGACACTCTTGCAAAAGATGCAGTGGAAATCAAACACCCCTATACAGATTATAAAAACAAAATTACTTATCAAGAGAAAATGGCAAGCAATTTGGAACACGTTCCCAAACAATAAACCATATTAACATCAGCTGACAATAAGAAAGGGAAATGTAGAACCATTAGCTGAACTCGGACAAGACATAGTGCTCAACAGAATAAGAATTGGACACACACTTGACACACAAATACATGCTTAAGGCAGAAGCTACACCTCTATGTACTCACTGCAACCAATTTACCACAGACAAACCAATCTTGTTAGAATGTAAGAAATACAAAAAAAAATATGTAGCAACTATTACCAAGCTCAAAATCTTAACATACTCTTCAAAAATGTACCTATTGCCCAAATAATAGGATATCTGAAGAAAATGAAATACTTCCAACTTCTATAAAAAAAAAATAGAGCATGTGTGTTGAATCATAACTTACATTTTAAAATACTCCTGAACTATATAACTTGTGATATTTTGAAAACAATTTAAAAACCTCACAACCACTTGAAATGTTCTGAAATATATTCCTGAATAAAAATCCAGTTTTAGCATTAAATCACTCACAGAGTTTGATATGCTGGTAAAACAAATCAACAATCCACCCATCCATCCATTTTAAAATTGTGGATTCCCAAGTTTTCATTACTGTGATTTTAACATGATTTTTTGCTATAAATTTTTTTTGTACAATAACAATTTTTATAACTTGGAAATAAATTTAGGAATAACTGAAATTAAGTGGGAAATCTAGCAAAAGTCATCCATGAAATAAAAATAATTGTTTGTACGGAAATCAAATTATCTTTAAGTTAAGTGGTGACAGAAGAATTATTGTTGAACTCTTAAAAGGTAAACTTAAATATTAATGTAATTCTTAAATACAGCAATCACTTTTGAGTTCTGTAGTTTATTGTTGCCTATCACATATGGCAGCATTATGCCTTGCAAAAAGCAATCTCCTCCAACAAAGGACCAGATTGCAATCAAAAAAGCCAAGGCTGCAGCAAGGAAAAGAAAGTCTGGTGCAAATGAAAACTCAGATCAAATGGCAGCAAGGAGAGCTTCCAATGCTGAGAATATGCAAAGACGTAGGGACTCTGAAAATCCTGAAAAAGCTGAAGGCCCAATCAAGAGCCATTCACATGAGCTAGCTTAAATTTTAAGCTAGTTTACTTATATACCTTTCACTTACATCTCTTTCACTATCTTCTATATCACTTTATATATAAACAAACTTTAAAAGAGAATGAAAGTTTTGACATACTTGTTCAATAAATCCAACTGCTATATAAAAATTTTCATATATAGTAATAATAATAATAATATTTAATATAATTCTATAGTAAAAATAATATTCTCTCCTGGTCCTTTTGGACAGGAGTAGAGGTTGCTGCCTTGTTTTGGGTTTCTGGTTTCTTCTAAATTCTACTTCTCTATATTTCCAACATCTCCATGTAAACTCTGAAATTTTATTTACGATTTATTCTTTTTCTTCAATAGGAGTAGATAGATTTACACTCCTCCCAAGTCCTTTTGAACAGGAGTAGAGATTTATCGCTTGTTTCCAGTTCCTTCTAAATTCTACTTCAATTTTAATGTCTCTGCCTAAACTCTGAAATTATTTATGACCACTTCACATTCTTTCCTGATCTTTTCTGCATTTGCTGGTTCCCAGACTTCATGAATTCAAGCGCCATACGAGGCTGGCATCCCGCTCTCACCCATTCACTGTTGAAACTACTAAATGTAGCCGTCTCTTTTACTCCAATAGCTTCATGTCTCGCACCTCTCACCTGTGGAACTCCCTTCCCTATGCCAGTTTCCCTGAAAGCTATAATCTCCAACTATTCAAATGTAATGTCACTCGACATCCCCAGTTGCCTTGATCTATCCACTATCCTTCTCCTCGTCCTTTCCTCTATCACTCCTATCTGATCTTGCTCCAAATCTTCTGTAACCCCTTGCGCCCTAGTGGCTTCTCGCCTTGCTTGGGGTGAAACGCTTTAAAAAAAAAAAAAATGGGATTGGTTTATCTCTTGCTTCCTGTTTAGGATTTGGTTTTGGATTCATTCTAAAGTTTTTTCCTTCTCTTTCACTTCCAGTAGCCTCTTGTGTCTTAGTGACATTATCACCTTGCTTACGGTAACATGATTAAAAAAGAAAAAAAATTTCAAAGGAATATATTTGGTATGTGGCATTGAAATCTGAAAGCACATTGGAATAGCAAAAGATGACTTCCAAAAAATAAAAGTATTAAGAAACAGGAAAATTTAATGAGAAACAAAGAAAAGGATGCTGAACTGCTATGTAATATCAATCCTTCTATATGGTAGTAGATACTGAACAGTTTCCTCACAGATGAAGAGAAGAAATGTGGCAACAGAGATTTAATTCTATAGGAGACTGTGAGAATACCATGGACTGAACATGTAATCAATGAGGAGGATAAATTGTCATCCGAATTACACAAAAATGAAAATAACACTGACATCTCATTTTAACAGGTATATTTACCAATCATGGCCTCCAGACAACTTTAGAATCTCCTGTAACTGTTTTGGACATTCTCTTTGTTTAATGGTGAATGCTGCCATAATTCTTATCTTTGGTGTTACAAGGAGTTTTGTTTGTCTCTTGCTCAACTGTGCCCCTACACATAATAATCAAGGGGGTTGCAGTCTGGGGATTTAGGTGTCCAGATGTAAGAGGTGATGTAGTTGCAGAAATCATCTGACAGTCATGATGGGGTTCTCCTACTTGTGTGGCATGGTGCAGAGACCAGTTGCCAGACACAGGATTTTCCAGCAGACACCCTCTTGACACAGGGCAGCACTACCTCCTCAAAGCACTTGATGTAGGCTTCCATGTTGAGTTTGAGGCCCTCATTAACAAATTTGGGACAGAACAATCAGAGTGAGTTTCCTAAGCTGCCATACCTTTGTAATCATCATTAGACTCATCCAACTCTTTTCTAATCCTCTAAAATGTTTGTATTGGAGCTTCCAATGCAATGCCAAGCAGTACAGCATGCTGTTTCCAAATCTCTGGCAAAGTGAATTGCATCATGGTGCTATTTTCCTCACAGATGGTGCCCAACTGACCCTACTATACGGTGCAGTTGACAAAATCAAAACCCAAACACTGCCCATGGACAAAATTAAAAATATAAAATGGCAATAATTTACTCATTGTACCCTGTATAAATGGCTTTTTAGATTGTAAAATCCCATTCACTTTTTTTTAAACATTTTTTTTTCTAATATCTAAACAAAAAAGAAAAATTAAATTTTATTATTTAAATATTTTTTTTCTTTCTTCCACAGAATGAAAAGAAGAAATTTGAGTGAAACTCCTTGGAGTGGACGTCAAACCTAAGTGACAGTTTCTTTTTCCTAAATCAAATACAATCATCTGGATTTTGATTGGAAAATCGTCATTTCAACTTCTAATCAAAGATGGCTCCAGAGCAACAAAAAACTCGGAAAAATCTCTCCAAGAAACACTTTTGTTACATCAACTCTGCCTTCAGAGTGTGGGGAGCCATTACTCTTATTGGTAACGTATTCTCTTTTTATAATGGTTTCTTTTGATGGTTTTGAAATTCCAATAAACATTTAAGATATTTGTTTAATTAAGGCTCCACCTTTTAACAGATGATATATTTATTGGGGCAAATGCCAAAGGCAGAACAAACAGAATCTACAAGCGGGAGGAGTTGTCTGTTGGGCATTCAAATTGAATTCTTTTTTTCAGCTGTAACAATTTGAAATAAACTGTTACTGGGCAATGTTACAATGATTAGTATTCAATGTAGATATTTTTTATTTTACATTTTTCTTTAGATGAAGCACTGTTTCATTGAAGAGGCACGGTGGAGTAATGGTTAGTGGCTTGGATTGAGGAATCGGAGAGCCGAGTTTGAATTCCAGTTGAATCTATTACATTCATTAAGACCTTCAGGAAAAGTATGAATCCTCTTCTTCTCCCACAGCTATGGTTAAATAGCAAGATAAACCGGAATACATAGCCTTGGATGGCAACTGGTTTATCGCAGAAAGAAATGGCAACCTTTGCAGGAAAAAATCTCTCATCAGTGATGAATCAAAAGATAAATGATAGCCTAAGTGTGTATTACGTATGGCACATAACTGACCTGACTAATTCTTTCTTATTTCTTTTGCTATTTTATACATAATAGTAGTGTGAATTTCTTAGATGAAGCATTGCCATTATTATTAATGTTTAACTCTTTCGTCTTTCTCTTGCTTCTTTTTGTTTAGGAGTAGTAGTAGTAGTAGTATTAGTAGTATTATATTAGATGAAGCATTGCCATTATTATTTTTTGACTCGTCTTTCTTGCATCTTATTTCACTTGCTTCTTTACACCTAGTAGTAGTAAAGTTGAGTAAATTTCTTAGATGAAGCATTGCCATTATTATTAATTTTTGACTAGTCTTTCTTTCATCTTATTTCTCATGCTTCTTTACACCTAGTAGTAAAATTGTTAAGTTGTGTGATTTTCTTAGGTGAAACATTTTCATGATTATTATTTTTTGGCTAATCTTTCACCTTATTTCTCTTGCTTCTTTACACCTAATAATAGCAGAGTTGTGTGAATTTCTTAGACTAAACATTATTATTCTTTGAGTCATATTTATTTCATCTTATTTCTCTTACTTCTTTAACCTTTTTGGAGGTGATTTGTTTGCAAAGCAAAAATTTTATCTTATCACTACAAATGACTCGATGAATGAATGATAGTGTATTTCTATTTTGCAGTTGTGTTGTCATATCCTGCTATGGCAACAGAAAATAAATATGACTGAAATTAAGTAGCCTTGAAAAACAAAGCAGTGAAAAGGAAAGTAGTGAGTAATGTAGTGTGTTAAAAGTTACGGCTTATGGCCATATCTCATTGAAACGCCAGTTCTCAAACAATCACCAATGTTCAGAAATGGCTTGCCTGGTCAGTACATTGATGGGTGACTGCTTGGGAATATGTTCTGTAAACTTGGATGCATGGGTGTTGTAATGGATAACAGTTTGGAATTGGAAATCGGAGAGCCAAGTTCCAATTCCAGTCAGGTTCATTATATTCGCTTAGGAAAGATAGATATGAATCCGTCTCTTCTCCCAGATATGGGTTAATTAGTAAAGCTTCTATCAGTAAATTATTATCTCCCAAAAATTATTGTAATCTAAAAATATTTTCTGGCTTTAAATAACCTCCAAAAGGTTGAAAAAACAAGTCAATTTTTTCTTTTTTATTATCATTAGTAGTCGTCTTAAGTGGTGTGAATTTCTTAGATGAATCATTTTCATTAATTTTTTACTTTTAGCTTATTTCTCTTTGACTACATCTACTCCATGTTATACCAATCTTTTTTAAGTTGAATTTATAAATTGCTTGACTGTTTTTTCTACATTTCAACAATTTGTGTTTGTCTATGCTGGAGGCAAGGTGATATCAAGTACTTCCTTTTCCTTTTACGATCCCAGCTCCACCTTTTTCTTGTTGGTTAGCCAAGCAACATATTGTATATTTTATAAATACAATTTAATTACATAATTTTTTTTTTTTTTTTATAGATGTACAGTGAGTCTTCTCTTCTGTGTGCTCTGTCCCTTCAGGATGTAGGTGTCATGTCTCTACAATTTCCTGTCTTTTGTAACTCTTAGCAAATATTGTCTTTTTGCTATTTCCCCTAAACCCTGTTCTGCCAGCCATTTATACAAGCTGTTTCTTTGACGCTCTTGCCTTCAATATGTCCTGTGAGTGTCAAATTTTCTAAGCCCTCTTTTCTCATGTACCTAAGAAATTTCAACTCCCTCTTTCTGATACTACATATAAGTGTCCTTTTTGTTTCCATTTTCTCTAAAACTTTGTTGTTGCTAATAGGTCAATAGAAATGATGAACGAGAAAGAAACAGGTCTTTGATCTGGAAGGTCAAATAAAGGGATTGCTCAATGTCGAAGGCAAAAAACAAAGATAAACTCTAACTCTCAGAAGTTCATCCAATATAGGGCTCAAGAGCCACTCCTAGTTGACATTTAATGAATGAGGTTTTTAAGAGGTAGGTCTATGAGGATAGATATCGATTAACCCTTGACTTGAAGTGGTTAATATTGTATTTTTCAAAGAAACATCTGTGGGAGTTAGTTTCACAAAGAGACAATTCTTGGATGGGAAGCAAGCAGTCTGAGTGGAAGTTCCTCTTTACAAATGAAAGACAGAGGAGAGGTAGATGATTCAACTTCATGGATATAGCATGGCAAGTTCTAGCTGTAAAGGCCTGAACTGGGGGAAGTAAAGATTGGAGCTCATATGCATCTAAAGGAAGCATTTAAGTATGTACTGTATATACTCATGGATAGGTTGCCCCACCGGATAAGTCGCCCCCCCCCCCATTTTATGGCTTAATAATTGATGATTTACTGTTGACTCGCAGATTGGTTGCACTATAATCTGGGGAGTTACACAACCCTTTTTAAACCTAAGAATTATCAGATATCTACCTTTTATTTCAAAACTTATAATTATTAAGACACCTTTGTAGATTGATTTCCATGTTCTTCTGCATAATTTAGTACTTTTAAATTAAAACCTGCTTCATAACTCTTTCTTTTTACTCATAATTAGGGTTTGTAACAAAAATTATAAACTATAAATTTGGCTACCAACTATATCGTTGCGCAATGCAAAATAGTGCCAATGTTTTGGGTACTAGATTCATGCGCTTTATTTGTAAATAACACTTAAGAATGCCTTTTAATGTTATATGAAACAACCATTAAAGAAAATTATTTTATAAAGAATATTTCATTTCTTTAAGTTATATTTTCAAACGTATTTTTGACAAAATATATATATTTTGCAGAATTAATCATGGAACTATTTTTCTTTGTCAATAAACATCTACACAAGGTTCCTTAACTGATATATGCATGTTCAGGGTTTCTATATCAGTCTAGTGAGAGGGCCCCAACCGAATGGTGACTGATGGATCAATGAATATTTTATAATTTTATTTATTCATTGTGATGGATATTGAATCTAGCAGCATGAAGTTTAAAACAGTGGGTCAGTCTATATGATAGATAAATTGTTTCCAAAAGGAGAAAATCCACAGTTCTAGTTTTATTGGTATCATTTTCGATTTCTCATAAATCATGATGACAAGGTAGTGTTGTTTTACATTGATGTCAAGTGGATAGGTTGCACCCCTAATATTTTGTGAAATTTTGGTAAAAAAGAAAAAAGTATGACATATCCGCGAGTATATATGGTAAGCCATACCCTCCAATAACACAGCTTTGTCTTTTATAACATCTGAAACAAGGAACAGGGAGACAAACCATGGAAATATCAAGTGTAGAGAAACAATAGTAGGAAAAGGATCAATATTTAATTAAATTGATGTGGAGACCAAGAGGTTATGTTAGATTTGAATCTTTCATTTAACATTACGTTTTATTCAACTTCAGACTGTTGTCAATTCTCATCAACATGTGCAGCCTTGTTCCTGCTCATCTAAGACACAGACATTACATTCTCATCTGTGATATCTGATAGACTCTCCTCTTTTAAGTTGTTTCAGGTCTCCACCTTTTCAGTTGTCGTATGTCTCCACCATTTTAGATCTCTGCCATTTTAAGCCTATAATGCAAATTGTTTTCACACTTGCAAAACTTGGTGCATCTGTGAGGCCATATTCTTCTGCATTCAATATCTTGAAGATCACACCTGCACCTGGTTCCCTTGAGGGTCTGGTGTGATATTGAGTGCAAATTCTATTCTAGCATGGAAATGGAAACAATTCAGGGATTGAACTCACAATTTCTATGTCCCTTAGAATAGTCCCACAGGACAATAGTCTAGTAGATTAAACCATTGTTTCATGAATTTGGTGACATAATAATTGTGAGTTCAATCTCTGGGTCAGGCAGTGTGTACTTGAACACAATAGAAACAGGGTACTAAATAAGCAGAATAAGAACAATCTATCCTAGTAAATTAAATAAAGGGTTCAGTTCTAAGTTTCCTGAAGGTTACTCAGATTGTCAAGCATCTGATTATGACCAGAAATGAATTAAAAATGAGAGCTGAGTTTCAATTCCAACCATATTCATTATATTCCCAAATACTCTTGGGAAAGATATGAATCCACCTCTCCTACCTGCTCAGGTAGGATTTAATTAATAGGATTTTCTATCAGTAAATTATTATCTGCCAAAAATTATTATAATTTAAAAATATTTTCTGGCTTTAAATAACTGGCAAAAGGTTAAGCTGTAAAAAAACAAGTCAATCAATCACACATACTTTGTTAAAATTGCTGATATCAAGGTTTATCAATATTTTACACTTAAACTGATAAAAAAGTACCCATCTGTTTTAATCAAGTAAAAGATGAAATTCTTTTGACATCTGTTAATTCTTATCCTAACAGATCTAGAAGTTTTTGTTTTTTTTATTGTTTTGCTTTTTCCTGCTTTAATTGTTACAGTGACAATTACAAGTTTATGTTAATAATCTTGTCAACAGCTGTTCAAG